CCTCCCCTGGGTGGGATGGGTGGGTGTTGACCCTGAAAAGCCCCTATGGGGAGTGGTCAATTAACCTATGTAATTTAATGTAATGTAATACTGGATGAGAAATACCACTCACTTCAAACAGAAGACAGAGGATGAAAATAATTTAATTTGTTGACTCAACAAACTATATCATCAAGATCATTAGTTTCCATCATAAAAGAATCACACCCTTGGGAACAAGAGCTCAACAAGAATCCAAATCCAACTGACAGGAAATTCTATCAACTTTTGATCAATGTGGTCACATCAGGCATGCTAGCTTAATTCTTCACCTTTCCTAAATGGACGAGGCACTCCAATCTCGGGTACTGCTTTCTGTGTTGGGTACAAAAATGTTAAAACGGCTACAAACAGTACCAAAAAAACTGAGAACTCTACAGTGTGGGAATTTGAAAGATATTGAGGGAACACCAAAGTTTGGTGCAACTCATAATGGTAAAGTGAAGATTGTTTTGATATTTTTCTTTTTCTCAAGTCTATGTTAAATGCAACCTAAATTTTTCATGCTCATGAACATTATATTTCTGTTTTGAGTCTCAAATTCCCTGTGGAAATGAACTAATTTGATTGTTGCTCTGTAAATCATCTATATCTAATTTTACTACACAAACTTATAAAACATTTAATGGGGTTTGATCATATTACATTATAATACTTATCACATTAGGCAAATTGGTGATATATTTTTGTTTTCCACAAAGACCAAATGTCAGATGGAAACTGTTTTCCTTTATTATTCAAGCATCAGATTTTTAATAAGGCAGTTATCACAGCATCAACATAATTTGTTACCTATTGGGTTAAAAAACAAATCTATTTATTGAGATCATTTCACTCAGTTTTTGAAAATAACAGAGACTAAGAAATAATACAGTTCAGGTCAAATTTAGGCAAATTCTTTCTTTTGCAAGATTTCTTTCTATGGGTGTCTATTTTGCAGATCAAGGACAATCAGGACTAACTATAAAAATCTATGCATGCACAGTGATCAAGGTACACAAAAGGGCAAGTCAAAAGTACATGATAACTAAATCATTTAATTATACAACAGGCTCTAAGAAAGTTTTGAATGAAGTTGTAGTCTGACTTTATATATATATTTATGACTTACGTTTGAAAAACACATATTGCAATGGCTGTAAAGATATTTTAAAAAATAAACAGTGAAGTGCAAAATTTGTCTGATACGGATGGTAAAAGCTGAATATTCCCATCAAACACAGCTATGAAGGTGGAAATTTTTCTCAATAAATGCATCCCAGCCATATCAAATGATTATAGACATAAGTCTGCGTACAGAATGGAACCCTTCCTAGGAAACAAACGTAGAAGTAGATTTGGTCTTCAATTCCCTCAAATTAGTGACAATAATAAACCGTTAGAGGTTTAACAGAAACCTTATTCCGTACAAGCAGTTATTACATTTAATCACACCTGCCAGAAATTTGCAAACACCTAAACCGTACATTAAACCAAATACAAACTGACCTAAACCATAGCATAACATTAAACCACAAAGGTTAGGTTGTTTCCAAAAATGCCTATTAATTCCAAATTCAAACTCAAGGAAATTTTTTGGTCATTAATTTGTAGCCTAATGGAAATTCTAATTCTGTAAAAGGGTAGCAATTACAAAGAATCCTACAACTTTTTTTACTTGCATGTTTAACTGTTTATGCCCTTCAAGTAACCAGCAACTAATTTATAGTAACATCGCTGAATTATTCAGTATAAATCATGAGAATACGGGAAATGATCACCAATTAAAGAGGCTCTTGATTATTTACACAACTTCTCCTTGTCAGCAACTTGAGAAATGTTTAAAGAACTGTATGAAGAATATGCATATTGAATTTAAGGTATAAAGGGTCTAATCAAAGGAAATCAATAAGAAATTCTGATATGCCCAATCATACAAAAATAAACATTACCTTTCAGGACGAGTTTGAGCAAAGCCGTGTAATTTTCAAACGGAAGTTAAATTTACAAAAGGATGTCTCACAACCCAAATGTAGTTCTAATAAAATTAATTAGTGCTTGATTATAATTCTTAGTGTGAGGATGTATAGTTCGAAATGAAAGACAATATTCCTTTAGTATTGCAACGCTTTACTCCTGCCAGTCTTGAAGTGTTAAGTACGATGAATCCAATTCTAGACCGCTACGGTTGCATGTAATCACGACCAGACGCGTTAAACCAGTTTCGTTTTCAAGACAGGGAAATGAGCAACCATCGGTCGAAGAGGTGAGAGTACCGAAGGGTGCTGATAATCACATATGCATAAATGATCATAATCCACCAGTTTGAGGTATCGTTTCATCTATTGCACTCAGCACAGTAAAATATGTGAATCTTTAAATTTGAAATCACTTGAAATCACGCACCACTTTTAAGCTGCTACCAAAATTGAATACTGTTTCGAATGGAATGTAAAGGTTCCACGAGAAGAGGCCCGCAATTTCCAATATGTTCCGTTTAGGTGAAAGTTCCATATATATATATATAAAGTAGAAATTTCCGTAAAGAAGTTCTCAAAAGCCTTGATCAATTACTTCCTCTATTCACACATTATCGGTTCAAGTTAGTTTCAGTGCATAGCTTTCATGATCCCTGTTGTCTTCTTGCATACGCTCCTAGGCACGCACATATCCCCATAATGCCGAGAATAAGACCGATGATAAGAGCTGCAGCATCTCCGCCATCGAAAGCTGCAACCTGATCAAAAAGACTAGCCAAAACTATCGCTAAAAAGGCCTGATACACTCCTCCAGCCGCCATCTTCGATGTAACTTGCAACACTTGTAAGCACGTGATTTAGCCACGTATGATGTCATTGTCTTTCTCGGAAATATGAACTTACCCGGTAGGGATGGGGAGTATCAATCGCAATATCCGTTTTAATCATTCCAAGGTCTAATGAAGGATTGAATCCTATTTGCAAGATTATTTTCTCAATACTAATTTATCTAATTTTAAAAAGATACAACACCTATTTCCTATTTCGGACGAACTGGGCTAAAATCATAGATCAGTTCTCATTGGTCGTTTGATGTACGATCTTTGTATCACGTGGTTTACTTTTGGCGCGAATATGTGGCGCCTCGCGCGCGATCCATCAATAGTCGGCAAAACTTTTAATTTATCTTTCAAAGTTGTTTTGCTTTTTAGAAGTGTCTTTTTAAAAGTCTCACGATTCGAAAACTCGAAAATAAGAGCGAACAAGGGCGGCTGGTTACTACTGACCTGGAATAAAGTAAATGAACACCGGGAGAAGGCTGGGTACACACTTAATTCACTGCAGGCATCCGGGATGGAAAAAGAGAAATCAGGCGCAACAAGCAAAGCTCTTGAAGAAAAAAAAGAGCCAAATACCAAGGAAGATGTAATTTCAAGAGGAGATACTTTGAAGCCGTGGTGAGCCTTACGTAAACTCTTTACAATAGGTCTACTTGTACATAAGGCTTTTTGTTTGAGAACTTGAGTTGTATCACAAAGAAGACTGTATTGAAGCTATCTATAGCTGCCTGTTTAGGACTGCACAATCCAAAAGGAGAAAGCAAGGGAAAACATTAGCCGGTACGCTTTTCTTCTCATTAACCGCACAAAGACGACAAGAAGGCTTACAGAAAGTCTAAATATTTATAAACACATCGGAATAAGCCGTTTGTTCCACATGTCCTCCCCATACCACCCCCACGGAAGTTAGGGTTTTGATGCTTGAAAAAAAAAAGACGATCAAAGCCAAGAACGCTCTTCAAAGGCGAAGGCCGGTTGGGGATAGGAATGGATAAGTCCCACATAATAACTCTGCTGATTACAACTCATTAATTACTCATCTGGTTATTGTAAATTGGAGTAAAATTTAAACGTACATGTTTACTCCATCTGGTACGAAAAGACCTCAAATATACACTTGTCCGACTTCCAAACCTTCCGTCCTTTGCTATAAGTCCTCGTTTAAAATTTAATTCAAGATGTGAGGGAGCGTTTCGTGATTGTTACACAAGAAGGGAAATGTCTGTTTGTTCTGATAAAGTTGTTCCGGAGAAAATTTAAAAGAAAATATCCCACGCAGCAAACAGTAAGCTGTTCGCACACATTTTTTTCACGCGATTTGCAATATATTTGAAGGATAATAAACACGATAGCCTATACTTTTGCACAAAAACATGCTCGTATATTTTTCCTTGGACGTCAGTATTTGTTCCTCGACCCTCTAAGAGAACGATCCGGTTCAGACATGTCTCGACATGACTAGAAGAAGAATTATATGAACAGAAATTTGCAATTGATTACTTAACACTCTCATGAATATTGTTTTCGCAAAAGAATTGGTAAGTGTAACCAACCGTGCCCTTTTCTGGTTTATAGCTCTAATAGTTAGCGGTACTATCAAAATCCATAGACAGAAGAGCTTTCCTGTTCTGATTTTGGGATCGAACCATGATAACGGTCGTCGTTTATATTTTGGCAAGACTGAGACACAGAATCTGTAAGGATTTCTAGATCTGCATGCACCTCATATCAACAGTTTCATCAACATTTACTTTTACTTATTTATTCTTTTTGTAATATTTAGATTTTTGCACGATACTGAACTTATAGTTGTTCCTTTCATATTTAGTGAGCCTCTAGAGCGAGCAAAGGAGCCTGACCAAATTGGGACCAGTAGTTTGTCGGTATCAAAACAAGGCGATGTTACGAGTGAAAATGCCTCCCACGACGAGATTCAGAGGAGCTGCCAGCAGCTCATCGATGATATCAATGCTAAAAGGAAGCGAGACACGGATTTATTGAACGGTACAGTAAATAGCCTAAATATTCTTAGCTTGATTAACGACTACTTAACAATTATTCGCCGAAGGCGAGGTGAATATCGTCGAATAATTCACCGACCCTGAGGCGAATAATTGTTTTAGTATAATTTCAGAGCTGAACAGCAGAGATATTTCTAAAATTATAAAATTTTAGTAACATTTATTAACATTTTATTTTAACATTTTATATAAACCGCGTGGAGCGGATTATATAGCGTCTTATCATATGGCTGTGTCTCACAAGGACTGGGAACTACTGAATTTACGAATTTGATTGGCTGAAATCAATATTGAAAGCGGTCAGGAGCCCATTACTTGAAGCTCCTGAAGCGGTCTAGATTTTCCCACCTAGACCGGCATCTAGACCGGTCTAGAATAAAAGGTACAAAGAAAATAAAAAGTTGGCATATAAGACACAGCCATATAATAAACATCTTATTAACCGAGCTATGTCGGTCTGTATGGGAGAATCTCCCATCTAGACCGGTATCTAGACCGGTCTAGAAAAAAAGGTA